ATTGTAATAGTGTTTTTGAGTTTCATTTAGTGTTTAGTTTAATTCTCGTGCTTTCGTCATAAATATAATATTTTATCATGTGTATGACTTAATTTGTTGGAAATATTCACCTATTGGTTGCTACAACAACATCTAGAAATATGTATTCACTAAACCCAGGACATGTTTTATTATGTGGTTTAAAAGACATTGCAGGTACCAAACGTTTATTATTGATAAACTTATTTAAAAAACTTACTAGACTTATTCTTATATTATGAAGTGAATTGTGTAGTACTTTGTAATATACATGTAAATGGTAATAAAACCGTCACAAATCAGATTACAGTTTGATTCTAAACAAAGTTTTGCAAAATTTTAATATTGTGAATTTGTAGATATCCATTTATTGTAAAAAAACAAAATTTTCACCCCTTCCCACCCCTATCTGATATGGTGAGGGTGGCATCCCCAAAAAATCAAGTTAGAACGTTATAAATAAAACAGTTGAAATCTACGATTTTTTATACATATAAACCAAAAATTACAATTTAAAAAAAAAAATTTTTTTGAACTTTGAAAAAATTTTGACTTTAGCCGTCATAGTTCGGATGTGGGGGCTGGCATTTAAACATAGTTACAGAGGACATAAAAATCTTATTTTTTGCATATTTATAATAGAAATGATTTGCAACATTTTTGTATAAAAATCTTAGCACCACCATCCCCTAGAGGGAGATAGAGGGGTGGCATCCCCAAAAAATAAATTTAGAACTTTTAAAAAAACAATTAAAATCTACGATTTTTTATACATACAAACCCAAAATTTCAATTTTTTTTGATAAAATTTTTCTAAATTTTTTTTTTGACTTTCTAAAAAATTTGATAAAAAAATTGAAATTTTGGGTTTGTAACTGTAAAAAATCGTAGATTTTAACTGTTTTGTTAAAAAGTTCTAACTTGATTTTTTTGGGGGTGCCACCCCCACCATATCAGATAGGGGTGGGGAAGGGTGAATTTTTCCAATGCAATTTTTATTTTAATGGGATAGTACATCCATATACCAAGTTTGGTCTCAATATCACGACCCTAAATGTCCTAGTCCCCAGAGCCGAACCCCAACCAGATTATTTTTGTTGGTATTTCCAATAATCCTGTTGGTTAGGTTTGGAAAATATAAGTAATTTTTATGAATAATTCTTGTTATAGGTAGATTAAAGTGATTATTCTCAGGTGGTTCTTTACTGTTTTATTTAAGTCCAAGCTAAATTTTTTTTCTTCAAATAATATAACAAACTAATTTTAAATAATTTTTTTAATTTCTTTATTATATTTAATATTATTTCTACTTTTTCTAACAATAATCAATTTAAGATATCTACTTTGATTGAGCTAAAATATTTACAGTGCCGCCGAGAGCCAGGCTGGGCCCCAGACCAATTCTCTAGATAGGACCCCGTGACAAAAACAGCCTCTTCAAACAAAAACTTTTCGTGTTCTACTTGAATTGAAATTTCTAAAAAAAGGTCCTCAAACAATAAACTTTTCCTCCTCTATATTTCAATTGAATTTTCTAAAAAAAAAAAGATTCTCAAGCAAACACTTTTCCACCAAAAACTTCCCTCTCTCGTCTTGTCTCGTCTTGTCTCGTCTTGTGCCGAACTTTTGATACAAACCAACAACAAATATCCGGTTGCCGGGCCCCCCTTATACCGCTGCTGGGCCCCCATTTGAGTCCGGGCCCCGGGAATTGGTCCCGGCTACCCCCCCCCCCCCCTAGTCGATCCTAAATATTTAGTAAGGGAAGTTTTTAATATTATATAAACATACTGAAAGGGATCGTATTTAATTCCGTCCCCGTTGAATGGAACCAAAGTCGTGCATGCGTTGGAACAAGAAGCAGGGAATCATCGCATAGGAACGGGAATTATTTATTGAATGTCAGATTTTGAACGTAGGAGAATGGAATGTCGCGATTGTTAAAAAGGTGTAGGTTTTTGTTAGTTTTATTTGTGATAAAAATGTAAGTGCCTTTTTTAAATCAATTATTATGCTTCAATTACTTTTATATTATTTAACTAGTTGATGGTTCACTGTTTAGATTTGAATTTCACTGTTATAAGTAATTTCATGCTTCTTCTTGACAGCATTTTTTGTATCTGTCATAAAAAATTGCTTGCATTCCAATTAACGAGTTTATTTGATTTTATTACTTATTTTAAAATTAGTGAAAAATAGCATCCTTTTAATATTTTAATTTAAATATTTTTGAAGTTTATTGATATTTTGTAGTTATACCAAGGAAAATTTGCTATAATTTTTATTTGACATTGAGATTATTTTTTAGTCATTTTTAAAGTTCGGCAAGGGAAAAGTAATATTATATTAGTAAATTATGTGTTTTCCTAACATCAGATATTCACAGCATTGGCAGATTTAAGTTAAAAGTATAAAATGCCTTGTTGATTGATACTAAAATTTTCCGCCCGTGGCTGGGACAACATCGGGATAGGTGTCCCGGTAACTTACCTGATTTTGTCACCAGAATATTCAACTTTAGGTGGGTAGTAAAGCTGTAGAGCTTCCCCATTACCTTGTCCCTAATAAACCTTCTTCAGTTTTGCATCGAGTGTGTTTGAACCTAGTAATGCTCAATGTTTGTTATCTGATGAGTTATTGTTCTTAAAATATTTATTTTATTTTTGCCTTGCAGCATTAAATATTGTTTTTTTTTTATACATAATGTATTGAATATTATTTCATATATTTTCCTGTGTATAACCTAAATTGAATATTATTTCATATATTTTTCTGTCTTTAACTAAAACATCAAGTAATTAAATGTGTTTTTTATATATATAATTAATTTGTCATTTGTATCCAAATTGACGTTTGATTGGTTTTATTGTATTTATTATAACTTTGGGGTTTTCTTACTGGTTCTTTCCCCTTATTTGATAAATTAATTATTGTTTTTTATTGCACCGAACCAGACCTATATTTAATCTTTATAAATAAATATATTTTATACATTTTTACTTTCTGATTCTGTCATCTATATTATTTTCAATAAAGATTAGATATAAATCAGTAGTTATTTTCTTTTAACCTTTACCACTCCCTCAATAACACGTAAGTAGCCAATAGATAACGAATCTTTCAGTCTGTCACTCGTGGTGTCCTAGTCACTTCATAGTCGATCACGCCGCCACTTTCTTTATTTCAGTTGGTTACACTACAATACTGTATGTGAATTTGGCTAAGCAGTAACCTTTATTTCTAAAAACAGGAGGACAACGTTACTTGAAAAATGTATATTTAGAATTAATAAATTAATATTTACCACCATCAAATCCCAGACCTGGACAAAATTTTTTTTTAGCAATACAGGAGAAGCAGAAGTGACATTTTTACAAATAAAATTAATTTAACAAATTTATTTGAGAACATGTCGTATAAAATTATTTATTATTAAAGACACCTTTTATACAAATTTATTAGCAAAATTTAAATACTTGTTATTTTCGGTATATTTCTCCTTTAGACACACACATTTTTAGTTTCATTGTCAAAAGATTTAAATAAAATTACCGGACCTTATAATATTCTATTATAATTTGATGATCCCGAGTGGCCATAACAAAAAGACGAAATTTGAGCATGAAGATTTAGATGTCAATAACGTAAAATTAATGTTTTGAAATTAATTTAAGTTTTACCAATTTAGAAAATAAAATTAATTAATAAAAAAGTGTCTACTCGTGGGTTTGAACTCGGAACCCTTCGATTCATAGACGAGTACTCTAAATATTCATTTATGGAGGCTTACGAGAAAGTTTTACTTTTTAACGCTGATAATCAGATTGCTTTTAGTTTCATTAAAATCTTAGTGTATTTTTAAATATAGACGAATATCTTGTGGAATGCTATTATTTATTGATTCTTCACAAGAATCACTAATTTTTAATTATATTTAATCTTAATACCTAAAAAAATATGTATTGACAATTAATTTGACGGAATTGTCACTTATAAAGTTCTAACATCTGACATAGAGGGCGTATCTAACCAGTAAATAAAATCGTTAGTTCAATGATTGTACCAATAGATGTCAGGCGCGATTGTCTCCAATAACTTTTACATGGCGATTATTCTGCTAGTTCTTTATACAATGCCCAGGGTGATGAATTTGTTATAACAGTTACCGTTAAAAATTAATAGAATCATTACGCCATCTGTTAAACAAAAGAACTATTAAGTAATTTCAACATTTATTGTGAACATCTCGACCGCAGATGAAAATTTTGTTGAGTGTACTTAATATTTATAATTTATATAACCGATGATAATATATCATTAACTAATCCAAACATTTTTAATTAAAAAATACAGGTCTGTACCTGATGATGTTCAAATATTCCGAAATGTTAACTAATCACAATATGTTGTTACATAAGTGTATGCAGTAATGGACGTACATTAAAATGAATAACACTGGTACTTATATATTCAAATGAAAAAGTTGATGGTGGCCCTGTATTTACGAACCATCGGATAAAAATAAATACTTCATCATATACATAATTTGTTATAAAACAAAAAAACTTCGAGTCAGTTTTTGTCTATTTTTGAAAATAAACTTTTTGTAGTGAAATAAAGAAATGGAACTAATTTGTTTTTTATTGAATATCTCGGAAACCAGCCCTGATATTTTGATTTTCAAAAGTTCTCAGATTGGACTTCAAAATATACATATTTTTTTTCTCCATTTAACCAACCAACAATTAAAAAGTGGCCAACCTGTATTACTGTATTGTAAAATAAACAATGAAAATAATCAAAAAATCAGCTGAATAACTATATTTTTGTTCTTGATGATATTTGTGGTGTTAAAAGGATCTGTTATTTTTTAATATTTGTTTTTAATATACAATCTGGAACATCATGTACATGCCGAATGAAAATAATACATAATTCTGAGCCCAGTTTGGTAATAAAAAATCACAATAAACTGAACTCACCCCGAAATTGGCAGTATCATCTCCTAACACGGCGATAATTTGAAAATCTTTCAAATGCAGTTGTATATTGTAATCGCCGGTTTGCTTCTGATCGTAAACAGTTTGCGGAGTTTGTTCACCGCCTCTTTTGGACTTTTTCGGAGCGCCGTCGCTCCCAATAACGAGAACTAGCGCAATCAGACATAAAAAACGTATCTTCTCCGTAGCCATCTCTAGTCCATCAACGAATCACTTTTAAGTTCTTCTTCTTCGATGTTTTAATATCAACTGAAGAATTATTTCGCGAGAACTAGATACCAATTCGAGATTACGGCAGTAGCGGTACACGTGAGATTTTATGCTAAAGATCGTATTATAATTTTTATTGCTGCAAAGTGCAAGTAAGTTGTTAAAGTTTAATGCCTTTTGGTAGCGGTAAGCTTTAGTAGGGCAAAAAAATTAACAGCCTTCCTTAATTTTTTTTACCTATAGTTGATTCTTTTGTACTTCTTTTTTATAGCTTTTCGGATGTAGGTACTCTAGACTGGGCCAAAAAAATAAAACAATTTTTTTTCTTAGCGGAACTATGAAAATATTGTTCATGACGACAAAAAAAAATTTTCCTGAAAGTTTGAGACCTTAATAATAATATTAAGAGGTGCATCATTGCAGTTATTAATTTTTCAACAGTTGTCGCGTTTTTGCATAAATTTCGGAATTGGTCAATTTAAAAAAAAAATTTCATCTCTTATCCTTGTACAGTTCATCAAATTTCTAGAGGCTTTCGACGGCTAGACAGAGAAAGCACTACTGACAGGCATCCCGACGGATTTACCCAATGAAAGTACACTCTGCGCATCAAGTATTTCACTATTTCATTCAGACGTAAATGTCAGATGTAAATTTCGCTAAAACATTTCTTTTATTTTCGTTTGTGTTTTTTGCTCATTACAGTTTAATAGAACCTAAGTATGGAGTTTAATAGCAAATTAAGAGGCCGCGTGATTAACAGTCAATCTCGCGAAATAATAGCCAATGTTATAGAGTTTATGAGAAGAGAAGGAAACTTTAATTTACCGTCAATACCATTTAAAAATGTAAATGATCGTGTTGCTGCAGCCACACGAGTATCTAAAAACACTGTCGTCCGCATTTCTGGAGAGAAAAAAAGAATCGATAACCGTGAGATATCGGAATTTTCATCACCAAGAAAAACCATTAAAAAACCAAAAACAGTTAATGATATAGATGAAGCTGCACAAGAATCAAATTTTATTTTTTTATTATTAGATAGCTATTTTTGTTTCTGAGTTGTGTTCATTTACAGGCTCAATTTTTTTCCGTTTCTCCTTTTTGATTTTATATGGGGTTTCAAGTTGTTTTTGACTTATTTCGACGTAAATCACAACAACACAATTTTTTAATAAAGCAAACAAGTGTTAAGAGGTATATGTACGTGTAAACTACAATTACAAAAAATTGATATGAAACCCATGAAACCACCAACAAAAATGTACTAGAACATGGTGTCATTCGTCGAGATAATTTATCGTTTTGTTTAATAGATCAAGAAATGTAAATATTCCCCTGTTATTTTTTATAAAATTATAAGAGAAATAATTTTTTTTCTAAATAGTATAGTTTATTATTTTGTAGAAAAACAAAATTTCGAAAATTTTAGTAATGTTTCAGAAACAACCGTTATTAATAATAGGTACCATTTTCCTTAATAAGGTAGAAATAAAATATAAACTATTTCCACGATTTACAAAAAATTATAGGTATTTTCCGCTATCCTATAAAATTTATATTTTCTGACTCAATTTCAAAAGGTTGAAGGAATTCCAAAACACCTTTTATGACATAATAATTATTTTCAATTCTACATACTATCTTTAGCTGCTTTTAAAAACGTTCTAAGAAAGTCCAATCAGACCAATTTAATCCCTAAACTATTCCACACTTTTAAAATTTAATTACCTAAAAATATTAAAAACTATTTAAAATAACTTGTTTAGCAGACTGTACAATAGCTATCTTAGTCACACGTAGCGCGTTCTCTGTCTGGGCGTCGAACACCTCTAGAAATTTGATGAACTGTAGGAAATTAAATTCCCCACAAAAAAGCTCTCCTAGTAAATTTTTGTAAGACGAGTCTATTCTTTGTAATCTTAATATTTAAGTTGGCGTTTAAGTGGCGTATTAATAGAAATTCAATTTCTGTTGATATGACATGCAGATTAAAAAGATTCGCCATACATTACCGTCTCGATGATGGTGAGTGAGGTTTTCCAGGTTTTCCTCACCTGTAAGTCAAATGGCACCATCAATCATCTTTAAGTCGCCCCGGAGCGCCACGGCAAATAATAATAATAGCCGTCCCTTCCCATACACAAGTCGTTCAGTCGACTTCAGGGGTTGAAATTCACTCGTAAGGGAGTGAATTAGGGAGAGTATTATTATTATTATTATTATTATTATTATTATTATTATTATTATTATTATTATTATTATTATTATTATTATTATTATTATTATTATTATTATTATTATTATTATTATTATTATTATTATTATTATTATTATTATTATTATTATTATTATTATTATTATTATTATTATAGTTCATTTTGGAAATCCCAAATGCAAAGTGAAAAATTGAAAATATATACCAATGTTTAAGACTCGATTACAAAGAATAGACTCGTCTTGCGAAAATTTACTAAGAGAGCTTTTTTGTGGGGAATTTAATTTCCTACAAGGATAAGAGATGAACAAATTTTTTAAAATTGACCAAGTCCGAAATTTATGCAAAAACGCGATAACTGTTGAAAAATCAATAACTGCAATGATGCACCTCTTAATATTATTATTAAGGGCTCAAACTTTCAGGAAAAATTTTTTTTGTCGCCATGAACAATATTTTCATAGTTCCGGTAAGAAAAAAAATTGTTCTATTTTTTTGGCCCAGTTTAAGGTACTCTCCTAACTAATTTGTGCGATTTTAAGAATTTGTTATTGGTAAATATACAAGTTAATGTCGTAGTGATCCTAGTAATATATGTAATTAGTGACAGCAGACAACACATAGGTATAATATGAAGGCAACACTTGTCAAAGAAAGGTTTTATTTAATAAGTTACAAATCTCCGAGCAAATACTACTAGAGGGAGTCTTCCCCCCTTCCCCACGCTAAATTTTGTTAGCAACATCTACTCCCCCTCGAGGGGGGAAATACCTCTTCTGTAATTGGCTTATTTAATCAGCATTACCAAGTTTGACAGCAAGAGTTCTGAAATTTTCTGACACATGTCAATTTTTGATTTGTATTTTACGAAAAATATAATTAATTATAGCCTTGCAAGGGTTTTATACGTATATTTAAGATTTATTATCTGTAATAGTATAATGAAAACATGCTTTATGTGTAAAAGACCTGTTAAAATAGTTCTTCAAGATTATATCATAGATAAGTACAAACACAACTTAATTATCAGAGGCGTTGCATTAGGCAATCCCCTTTAATTTGCAATTAAACTTTCTTATTTACGAAAAAGTAAAATTAAGAGGGAATAAACCCCAGCTAAGTTCGTCTTCATTTGACTCATAATGATTATAGTAAAAGTTAATTACTTATTAACATAAATAAAGAAAATTTAAACCTGTCACTTTATTTTAATATCACATTTTTGTAAAGTTTATTATTTTTTTATTGTAGGTTTCCTTTTCTTGATATGATAAAAAGAAATAAATGGTTAAAAATTTAGGAATTCAACAAGTGACCACCTGAATAACTTTTTATGCCAATAAAGCTTTTTATTACAGATCTCAGGGGTGGAAAAAATTAAAGAAAAATAATTCAATTTCAGTAAATTTCGACGATAAAAGTATAATTAATAATCAATCCTGTCACTACTTCCTCACCATATTCATCTGCTACTAAAAGAATGTTTAAGGAAAAAGACAAAGCTACGTTTTTGTTAACAATTTTTTTTAAACTGTAATTTAATCGACTAATTTTATGTATTTTTTAAATTTTCATATTATGTACTTAATTGATTTTGGATTTAAACAAAATTAACCTCAAAGATATGCTGATGATATGGAGTATCTCAGAAAAGCAAAAGAGTTACAAAATTCTTAAGAATACTATTCATAGCCAAAAACATAAAATAGTCTTCGTGTCCGAAATATAAATAGGTATAAATATTTGGATATTATGAGTGATTTTTACTTTCCTATCTGTATACAGATATAAGGAAAGTATAGGAATCATGATTTTTTTCGACCTCGAGTTTTCGACGGATTTTTACGTTTTGAGGTCCCCTGAATCCGTTTTGACTATTTTCGCGATGATGTCTGTCTGTCTGTCTGTGTGTGTGTCTGTGTGTGTGTGTGTGTGTGTGTGTGTGTGTGTGTGTGTGTGTGTGTGTGTGTGTGTGTGTGTGTGTGTGTGTGTGTGTGTGTGTGTGTGTGTGTGTGTGTGTGTGTGTGTGTGTGTGTGTGTGTGTGTGTGTGTGTGTGTGTGTGTGTGTGTGTGTGTGTGTGTGTGTGTGTGTGTGTGTGTGTGTGTGTGTGTGTGTGTGTGTGTGTGTGTGTGTGTGTGTGTGTGTGTGTGTGTGTGTGTGTGTGTGTGTGTGTGTGTGTGTGTGTGTGTGTGTGTGTGTGTGTGTGTGTGTGTGTGTGTGTGTGTGTGTGTGTGTGTGTGTGTGTGTGTGTGTGTGTGTGTGTGTGTGTGTGTGTGTGTGTGTGTGTGTGTGTGTGTGTGTGTGTGTGTGTGTGTGTGTGTGTGTGTGTGTGTGTGTGTGTGTGTGTGTGTGTGTGTGTGTGTGTGTGTGTGTGTGTGTGTGTGTGTGTGTGTGTGTGTGTGTGTGTGTGTGTGTGTGTGTGTGTGTGTGTGTGTGTGTGTGTGTGTGTGTGTGTGTGTGTGTGTGTGTGTGTGTGTGTGTGTGTGTGTGTGTGTGTGTGTGTGTGTGTGTGTGTGTGTGTGTGTGTGTGTGTGTGTGTGTGTGTGTGTGTGTGTGTGTGTGTGTGTGTGTGTGTGTGTGTGTGTGTGTGTGTGTGTGTGTGTGTGTGTGTGTGTGTGTGTGTGTGTGTGTGTGTGTGTGTGTGTGTGTGTGTGTGTGTGTGTGTGTGTGTGTGTGTGTGTGTGTGTGTGTGTGTGTGTGTGTGTGTGTGTGTGTGTGTGTGTGTGTGTGTGTGTGTGTGTGTGTGTGTGTGTGTGTGTGTGTGTGTGTGTGTCTGTATAACGCATAACTCATGAACCGATACACAAAAAAACACCAAATTTTAAACTTAAGCTTTGTTTCAGCGTCCAATGAGCTGATTAGATTTTGGGCAGAGTCGGAACATCTGGGGGGGTACTTTATAGGTGGTCATTTTTATATTTTATGGAATATATCTGTTATTTACGTTTGGAGAAGAAAATTCTTCAAATAAAAGTTACTTCTTATATAATTATCTATAATTTTTGTTTTATGCAA